TCTGCCTATTGTCTGTCATCTACAAGTTGTTCACTCGAGTCATCCTGAATAGGATTGGCAGAACACTAGATGAAGGACAACCATGCGAGCAAGCAGGGTTCCGCAAAGGATTCAGCACCATCGACCATATCCACACAATAACCAAGCTCATTGAGGTTTCTCGGGAGTTCAAGATGCCGCTCTGCTTAACGTTCATTGATTTAAAGAAGGCCTTTGATTCTGTTGAGACGGAAGCGGTCATTGAAGCCCTAGCCAATCAGGGCATTCAAGCCCAATACATCAGGATCCTCCGTGAGCTGTATTGCGGATTCACTACCAGGATCTCACCATTCTACAAAGAAGTGATCGTTGATGTCAAGAGAGGGGTGCGGCAGGGTGATACCATTTCACCAAAACTCTTCAGTGCCACCCTCGAGAACATCATGCGATGACTGGAATGGGAAGGAATGGGAGTGAAGATAGATGGTCGGCAATTACACCACCTCCGCTTTGCTGATGATATTGTTTTAATAACACCAAACATCAGCCAAGCGGCACAAATGCTGGCCGACTTTGACCGTGAGTGTGGAAAGGTAGGACTACAGCTGAATCTTACGAAGACAATGTTTATGAGAAACAGCCTTGTTCCTGACGCCCCATTCGCTCTCAATGGAACGACCATCTCCGAATGCAACAGCTATGTCTACCTAGGTCGAGAGGTCAACATGACAAATGACCTGGCACCCGAGCTGCGCAGGAGGAAGAGAGCGGCTTGGAACGCCTTCAAGAACGTCGAAGAAATAGCTAAGAGGACGAAGAACCTCCGGATCCGGGCACATCTCTTTGATTCCACTGTTCTTCCTGCATTAACATATGCCTCAGAGACCTGGGCCCTACGCAAACAAGATGAGAACGCCATTCAGGTCTCCCAAAGAAGAATAGAAAGAGCTATGCTTGGAATATCACGTTTCACTCAATTGAGAGAAAGAATCCGGAGTTCTGACATCCGTCGACGATCAAGGATCAGGGACGCTGTCTCATTTGCCAAGGTGTCGAAAATCAGATGGGCTGGTCACGTAATGAGATTTAAAGACGACCGTTGGACTAGAGCTGTTACTGATTGGATTCCACGGGATGTCAAGAGACCGCGTGGCCGCCCACCTACCAGATGGTCAGACTTCTTCCTGAAGATCATGAACGATCGGTTTGAGGCCCTTCATGTTCCCGGAGGGAACAGATGCCATTGGGCTACACTAGCACGCGACAGGGACAAATGGAGACGTTACTGGCGCCCGCTCGAGCAAATCGACGACTAACGGGAAGTTAAGTGATAAGTGAATAATGTAGGATTATTTCTTTTCCTTAAATCATGACATTAAAATTTTAAATAATAATTTTTCATACGGAATATTAGATCATTGGTAGTTCACAAAAAGTTCAAATTTAATTTCAGTTCTCTTTGCAAGAGTTAAGTCACATACAAAGAACAAGATAGTACCAGTGGAGAAAAAATATATTCTAATAAAATGCCGTAGTTTAGAAATAAAACACAAGAATTTATGATCTATTTTCTACTGAAATTTATCGAAGTATTTTAATATTTCAAATTTATTTAGCTCTAATGTATTGGGTTTTTATAATCCCTCAATACATGTCTGTTTGCTGCTAATGTCTAAAAATAACAGGGAGATAAATAATGAAGTCAGCAAGATGCATGCAAATAGGAAGGGATGAAATCGCATCATTTTAATTTTCTTTTTCTATATTTATTTCTTATGATTTGTAATTATCTATGTAAAAATTCTTTAAGGGTGGCCAGGGGTAGGCCCCAATGACTCTGCCCCTAGCCGCCCGCGTTCGGGGTGGGCCTGGGCTGTTCCTGCAGCCAGGGTAGACCAGGCCGTGGGGCAGACAACAGGGGAGACGAGGTCCTAGCTGGTAGATTGATCAGTTGCCATTTATTCCATTCTCTCGCCAGGAGCCTGACCCAGTCTCTCTGAGACTCCTATTCTGGTCTCACACTGCTCGTCATTCCAGTCTCCTGTCTCTCCCGCTCTTCTCTCTGTGCTCCATCTCGCAGCCTGGGCTCTCTCTCTCTCTCTCCACAAGCCTGCTCCTGTATTCCTCTACATTCTTCTCTCTCTGTCCCCCTTGTTAGTCTCTCTGAGGTCCATCTTGCCACCCTGACCCCAGTCAGATAGCCAAATCAACATAAGAAAGCCTTTCCTGAGGGCCCACCAAGTTCAAAGGGAACACCACCTACAATATTCCAAAACCCTTCCTGATTGCCCAAGGGCAAAATACCCCTTAAGATGTTTTTCTCTTTTCCTCAGTCTATCAACATATCAATACTAGCTATTTTTGTATGGACACAGTAAGAGATAACATTGAGGCTTGTAGGGCAGCTCTCCTGGGAACATCTTGCCACAGACTCAGACAGACTACAGTGCTCAGGCCAGATTAATCATCCCTAAACCTAGCAGGGTCCAAATCTAGTTATTACTTTTTGGAACATGACAGCATTTGTCCATGACCAAGCTCTTAACTTATAGTCAAGCATTATGCGTTTTGGCCAGGTACATCTCAATGCCAGGGTAGCACATAGCTTACTGCTTGCCCTGGTTCTATCCACTCCCTCCTCAGGACCCTGCTTTTGGGGGCACTAGGAAGTAAAGGCAGCTGAGGTTTAGGTGAGAAAACAGATGCCCAGGAGGAAAATATCACTGAGAGTCACATTACAAAAGCATGTCTTCTTGTGTCCATACAAAAAGAACATTGCTCTGAATAAACTGTGCAAAGGACTTAGGGAGAAGAGAAAAACAATATTTAGAGGTCAACAGAGTACAAAGAAAGTTACAAATAAACACAGAGGAATGGGAGCACTGTGATGGGAGCAACCCAATAAACCTAAACTAACTGAGGTTATTAAGGAAGGACAAAACAGTGTTATCCTACAGATCTATAGATCATAAAATTAAAACAATAAACAATGAAAGCTGTGCTGGTTACCACAGTTCACAAATTCTTCCCTCCAAGGCTTTAGCCAATTTTTCATAACAAAAGGACCATAATGATGTGAAAACTCCTAAAATGTTCAAGCCCTCAAATATTAGCATATCTTTATCAGCTGCATATACAGAAATCAAGAAAAAATTTAACATAGTCATACTAAGAAATTGGATTAATAAATTAATTTTATTTTCAAGTTATTTTTAATGTTCCCTTAAATGACTAACACTCTGTTACACTGTCCTCCCATTTTTCATTGATTTTGCTCAGGCGGGCACCAGTAACGTCTCACAAAAAATTGTGAGACTTGTTGTTACTGTTTTTGACATATTGAATATGTCACGGGGAGCTTGCTAGGTTTTGCTGTGCAGGCAAGATACTCTCAGTAGCTTGCCAAACTCTCCGAGAGTGGTGCAGGAATCGAACCTGTGTTGGCCATGTAGGCAGTGTGCAAGGCAAACCCCTTACCCACTGTGCTAATCTAGTGATCATTTATTTAACAAAAAGTGAAATACACATATTCATACATATACATACAATAGATGCCTAGACATCAGTGGCCTCAAATGTTCCTGCATATTAGCATATTTTTTTCTTCCCATGCTAGTTATAAACTTTTAATTTGTCCTTTTATTCAAAACCCAAGAGCAGGTGAAAAACCTAGAAAATTATCTTTGACTGTATCTGTTTTCCTTCCTAAGAAGAGAGAAGGACCTCACTCTTGATTTTGTTTTGACAGCAAGGAATTAATTAATGACAATCTTGAAATTAATCCATTACTTATGATGTCAGTGTGCCCCATGGGTGATTTATGTGAAGCCACCCAGGGAGGAGAAAGACGGTCACTATCTCCTCATCCACCTCTGGCCACCCAGGGTTACTGGGTTCTTGCCTCACAGAAAGGAATTTCAGGAGCAGACAAGCAGCGAAGTAAATAGATTTTATTTGGAGGGATTTTGAAGGTGTGGAGGGGGGAATAAGGAGAGAGAGAGAGAGAGAGAGAGAGAGAGAGAGAGAGAGAGAGAGAGAGAGAACACAGGCTTCTCCAAGGGCGGAGAAAGAGCCCACAGACACATCCCAATACTGGACTCGAAAGCATGAAAGTACACATCTCAAGAGGGAAGATGCGGCCGCAGCACACGCGCTCCGGCAGCAAAAGTGCACACTTCCTTGGTTCAAGGTGGCCTTTATAGGGTTTCTCCAACCTGCCCCCGTGTGGGCTTCTACGTTGGTCAAAGTCCATTGCTAAGGTTCCCAGGGGGTTGGAAATGGTGATGGTCTTCTTTGAAATTCCTTTCCTGGCCTTTTGTTCCTCCAGGAGCTTCTCTGGGTCTGTTGCTGGAGCCAGGAGAGGGTCTTATCAGGCCATAGTTCCTGTTTTCTGCAGGGCTGGCTTTTGCCATTCATTGCCTTGGGAGGGGGCCTTCCCTGTCTACCTGCCTACATCACTTAATATTGCACACTAGCATTCCTGACCCTTCATAACTTGTTTATATTGATACTAAACTGTAGCAGTCTTTGAAAAATTTACATTTCATATAGTTGTTGGCAGGTGTGATTAGTAAAATAAATGGATCTTGCTTAGATGAATCCGAACTTTTCTTTATCTTCTCCAGAAAAATATGCTTCTATAGTGTTTGTTTTTTAAGAGTAGTGGAAAGACTTGCCTTGAATTGATAAAATATGGATAACGTACATTCAATAAAATTTAAGATTCTACACATGAAAGAAAAGAACATATATGGGTGCAAATCAAATGTGTATCACTTTCTTTTTACCAAATTAAAAAGAATCTGATAACATAAGCTGTATCTAAATATTGATTTTGAATACACACCACTGCCTAATGTACATAATATAACAATCACTGGATGAAACTGATATATTTAACAGCTGGCCAAATTGAGATGATTTTAAAATGAGTGCTTATAAAGAGTCAATTTTGGGGTATTTTGCTGCTTAAGAACAAAGACACATCACAAATAAGCTCTTATGTTGATTTTTTCCGACAGGATTGGGAATTTCCACATTTCATGGGAATGGTTGATGTAAACCTTCCTGGGTTACACACCACTCAAATGCAGTTCAAGATTCCTTTCTTCGGGAAGATCTTTAAAAAGGAACATAGTATTCGCATAACAGGTATGTCATGACTTTCAACACATTTTCTTTCCAAGCTAGAGTCATGTTGGCTGCTAAAAAAAAATGGTGACATTTTTGAGTCAGGCAACTAAAATGTGCTTTTATTTTTTACAATGATGCAAGGTGATTCTTTTGCCAGTGGGATTCTCTGGCGACTTGTGTGAAGTGCGGAGGACACACACGGCAGCCTGGAGGAGGGAATCTCTACCTTCTCTCTCTCAACCTCTCACCAGGGATACTGGGAAACCTAGGACTATGAAAGTCGGCCACAAGCTATGGCACCTCAAGGATATTAACTTCCCAACAACACCATGAAGCAGTCACCAAACTGTGCTTGATGTCCTGTTTGTTCTTGCTGTGTGGCTGTGTGGGAGATAAGCCTGGCCATCTCATTTCTTAAGGAGCTGAAATGAGGAAAGGGAAGTCAGAAAAAAAAAACTTAGACCTTACCAAGGAGCTTTTGGGTCCATTGCTTTGCCAAAGAATTTCAGTAGCAGACTAGCTGTGAAGTATTAACAGCAATATTTAGAGAATCTGAGAAAAGGGGGGAGATAGAGAGAGGGAGAGAGGTGGAGGGAGGGGGAGAGGAAGAGAGATAGAAAAAGGAGAGAGAGAGGGAAGAGGGAGGGAGAGAAGGGAAGGTGGGAAGAGAGAGAGCACAAAGCCAAATTGAGAGGGTAATAAAAAGTGGTCTTTAGACATGATAAATGATGTTTTCGTTCTGCCTTAGATGGCTGATACTCAGAATAGTCCAGAAAACTAGATGATTGACTTATAGTTCTAAGACTTATTGTAAGTCTAGAATTAGTATTTATCTAGAATATTAATATGTGTTAGTATTCTAGTAATTCTGGTAATTCTACAAATATGTATAATTAATATGTTATCTAGAGTTTTAGCTCTCTAGGCTCTCTTAACAAATGATACAACTTAGGGTTGTGATAGCCCCTAAGAAACCCAGAGTTTGATTTCTGTCACCTCCATTCTCATTATTCACTCTGACAAGAGCTTAGTTCTGAGCATGGCTCATGTAGGCAGAACCCAGTTCCTGCCATAGCAGCCTCCTTGGAGCGCCTCAGCATTTTCCTTTGTCATAAAAATAGTTTCCTTTCACATCCTCTCCAGTGCAGTCATATTATTTGAGCCCATAACCAATATTCTATAATGCCATTTTCCACAATGTTTCCATGAAGTGCCGTAGTTTCTTCATTATCCAACTGTACAGCCGTGTGGATGCTTGTTCTGGAATGATTGCAAATCACTCCCATCATCATTGTGTTTCTGTTTCCATGATCAAGCACAAACCTTTCTCAGGAGGTGGAGCCTGTATCTTGATCCAAGCTCAACCCAGTTCCCCATTTAAGACAGAGCAGGAGTAAAACCAGCCATGTTCTAACATTATGCTTCTCTCAACATATGGAGATTCATGTGGTCAGAAGATACAGTATTCCTGTATGCATACAGATGCTCTCTCCTGGACAACCTGTAGATCCCGTCCTTACCCTCCAACTCCGTCCTTTCCAAGGACAACTAGTCTGTATCTTATTTTCAAAAAGAAAACAAAATTCTTGACTTTCATAACAAGCAATTAGATGATTATGAATGCGAGGCTGAACTGTTTCTTCTCTGAGTTTTATGTCTATTTTATAGGGAATGGGTATCAGTAGATAAGAAACTGGCTTCAGAGCGAGCAGGCAAACTCAGATGTTTCTGAAACTAAGCTGTGGTGATGCTCGTTAACCTTTCCAAAAAATCAGAGAACATAACCAACTCATGAAAAATCAGAGAACACAGCCAACTCAGTGTTTATGTGGTCCTGTAACTTTATGTTTTTTTTTTCCCTCCCGTTGATCATCGATTTGCTCGAGCGGGCCCAGTAACGTCTCCATTGGAGACTTTGTTGTTACTGTGTTTGGCATATCGAATACGTCATGGGGAGCTTGTAATATAGGTAAAAACTGCACATTTTCGTTTAGTTTTCCTTCATTGTAAGTGAGGTTGAGTGTTCATGCCTGTGATTATTTGCCCATTTTTTATTAATAAGCTATTTCTTTATATTCTTTAGATTCTTCCACTTTCATATATAGTCTACATAAAAGTAAATTTTGTATAAGAAATTTTGTCTCAATAGTTACTGAATTTATCATTCATTGTTTATGTGAAATGTTACCTTAATCTTATATAATTTTTTCTATGTTTATTTTAGATGCTCTCTAAATCTTTAATACATTTTTTCTAAATGCATAAGCCATACTGGTTATGGGTTCATAATAAATTTCAGTATCAGACACAGTAAAATATGTTTTTCATGGCCAATTTTACTGAATTACTTATTAATGTAATCAAAGCATTGTTTATATTCAATCTCATTATCAGTATATATGTATATATGTAAACAGTATATATGTATACATATGTGTGTGTGTATATATATATATACATATATATCTATATATGTGTGTGTATGTGTATATATATATATACATATATATATCTTTCCTTATATTTTCCAGCTGGAATTTATAATGGTTTCTTCACATAAAATCTACAAATTTTGCCTAAATTTATGATACCATTATATATATGTGTGTGTGTTGTTTTGTGAATAAGAAAGCTTCTTTTATTTATTTTGAAATTGTTACAGATCATAGAAAATAGAAACAAACACTAATTTTGTGCTAATAATGAAAACAGAGAGAGAGAGAGAGAGAGAGAGAGAGAGGGAAAGAGAAACACGAGCTAGAGTAACACACAGTAAGAAGAGAGTAAGGTGGAGGAGACTTGGAGTGATAGTACAGTGGGTAAGGGCATTTGCTTTGCATGCTGTAGACCCGAGTTTGATCCCTGACATCACATATGGTCCCCTTAACATCAGCAGGAGTGCTTGTTGAGCACAGAGCCAGGGTTAACTTCTGAGCATTGTTGGGTGTGATGCAAAACCTAAAAACAAAGAGAAAGCTAAAAATGAAGAAAACAAAAACTTGTCAGCAGAGAAGCAGGCTGAGGTAACATCTCCGGGAAGATGCAGTTGGTGTGTGCACCAGCTGCAGGTCCTGTCAGTGTGGGCCAGAGCTGCTTGGTACAGGCATCTCACAGGCCAGCTCTTCCTTTGTGTAGGCTATAGTTTACTCAAACTGCCGTCCTACGTGAACCCCTGCTGTCCCAGCCCCCAGCTCAGTTTGTTTCTAGGGTGGTTGCCATTGGTCTTTTTAAAATTTCTTCACCGGGCCCTTGTTCCTATGGTGGAGTCTCTCCTCCAGTGGGTCCTGCCTCCTCTCAGCTCAAAACCCTTTTTGCACTTGGCCTGGAATTCTGCAGCTCAATGTTTTCCCAAGCTCCTTGGTGTCAAAGGCCTCCATGCCTCTTCATGTCAGGTATCTGCAGCTGTTTCCCCCCAAAATTTACCAGGCCCATCCTCCTACTGGTTTCCACCACCATCCTATCTTCCTGTTTAGAACAGTTAAAACTCATCTGAGGTACTTAAAATGCTTGTGCTTTTTTTTTTTTTTAACGCATTCAACTTCAGCAAGCAGCAGGCAAATGCGAATAAAAGAAGGGGGAACAAATTGAGAGGCCTATATATTTCAAAACCATGCTGATCTGGAAAAGGGAAATGTTACTCCTCTGATATTCTGTTGTCAGTAACTGTCAGGTAGCACCACTTTCAAGAGGACGGGAGGATGGTTTCTCAGCAAGACAGTTATGGCATCAAGTCTAGTGCTCTGGTGTGGGATTGATTACGAGAATGGGAGGGCACAGTCTCTGGGTGGCTCAGGATCTCTGCCATATCCTAAAAACGATTACATCTTGCTTTTTTCACTGAATGGATTGCTTTTCACCACAGACAGCTCAGTAGATTATTGCAACATCCATCCTCTTTATGATTTTGTTACTGTAGAAATAAAAATAGAGGTATCCTAGATCTCCATTCAGACCATCTGCCTTCAGGGAGTTAGGCCACTTCTCATCTGATTAAAAATGAGTGGCAGAGTTCATGTCTGTCTCAAGTGATTCTCTTGCGGATCTTCAAATTATTTCATTTTTTAGGTATGCCCTCCCTTTGAAAGAGCTCTGATGTGATTTATTATAATACTCTTTCATGACATCTCAGTCATTCTCATCTTAAAAAAAAAAGACTTCCTGGAGTTACATTTTATACCTTCCTTTCTTTATAACAAGAAAGACAGTTGGATGATTAAAAATAATAGATGTAATTAGCTTCCAAGCTGTGGAAATGTCAGTAGTGAGTATGTGTGTGTGTTTTAAGGACAATGGCCTAGGATCGCCTACCTGCTATAATAAAATTCCTGAAGAAATCTGCGGTTACACTACCGTCTGTGGTGTCGAATAAAAATAGCCTGAGCATCTGAGTACTGTTAAAAAAAAATCCTTTTGCTTCCCAACTTGGAGGCTGTTATTCACTCTAAGCATGAGGCGACCTTTCCTAAATTGGAGAATGAGCTCATGAATAGGGAAAATGCAGCAGGTCTCTTTCCCATTCAGAATGAATGAGGCCCATTTATTAGATTCACCGGATAAATCAATCAATTTGAGTTCAGGTCACATCGTGTGGTTTCAGAGTCCCTGCTTAATCTCTGCAGCATGCCATCCTCTCGGACTTCTAAAACAGCTATCACACACATGGCGCCATCATATCCCTTTGGGTGGGCTTTTGCCTGAACCATCTGTTCTTGCTCTCAGCTCTTGTCCCAAGCCATCATGGCACTAATATTATCTCTGGCTATCAGAATCCCCATAAAAAATGTACTGCTTGAGAGCAAAACATCAGGTTAAAAAAAAAAGAGAGAGAGACTAAAAAATATTTGGAGAACACATTGGTTTAAAAAAAAAACATAGAATAAAGTCAATCTGTTAGCAGTATTTAATTTTGGCATGTTTTGCATGACTTTGTTATCTATGCTGTCCTTAGCACAATGGTCCATGTTTCTGGTGCCCAGTGATTACATTATTTAAATGTTCTAATTACAAACAAACACTGT